GAAAAATTATTATAAATTTCTATTTTATAAGAATCAGAAATCCCTTATTGGAATTATGAATTTTTTTGATAATTCTTGATTAAATTGATCTTTAGTTAATATTACACAATTATCATTAATATCATAATTATTATTAAAAACATATTTTTATTATTATTAATTAACAATATACAATTATCTTAATAATTATTATTATTATAGTCATAATGAATACATTTTTATAATATGAAATATTCTAATTTTATCTATAAATTGATAAGATATATTTTAAATTTAAACTTTAAATCAAAATTATTTAATGAATAAAATTATACCTGAATCATTTTTATCAGTAATAATATTTTTAGGAATATTCAAGAAGTATTTATCATTATTATTATATGAGTTAGATATTAAGCTATTTTTTTTATTAAATTTATCAATTTTAAATGATAATATACATTTTGAATTTAAAATATTAAAATCTTTTTTAGAGTTATCAACTCTAAATAATATATATTTTAAGTTTAATTAAAATTATCATCAGAATTATTAATTTTAGATAATGATAATTCTTAGTTTTTTAAACATTTTATTAAATATTTTTCTGGTTTTTATTATTAAAGTAAAAATAATAGATATATAATATATTTTTTTATTAAAAAATAAAGAAAAAAATTAAGAAATATTTGGAAAAAAATAAAAGAAAAAAAGTATATTTGAAGTTAAGATAACAGTATTTATACCTTTTTGCATTATATTTTTATAAATATATGAATAAATTTATAATTTGCAAATATTATTAATTATTAATTTATAAATTTTTAATTAATTAATATAAATGTAATATAAAAATTTTATTATAAAGTTAAAATAACAATATTTTTTTTTAAACTTGTGATCTTAAAAATTTTTAATTAACTAGTATAAATATAATGTTAAAAAATTTTTCATTGTAAAATCTGTAATATTTGATTTATTATAATAATTAGACCAAAATATAATTTAACAGGATTTGTCAACTGATTTAATAATAAATATATTAGTATATTAAAAAAATTTATTCTAATTTTTTTTAAATATTTTTAATAATTTTTATTTATTTATTTCATTCAGATAGAAATCAGAATTTATAAATCAGATTTACATTAATAATAATAATTTTAGGATATATCTTTTCATTTACATAAGCTAAAATGGTATTATATTAGGAAAAATGGAAAACAAATAAATAACATACTTTCTTCAATTTTATTTATATAAAATATATTATATAATAATACTTCTAATAATTATATATGTAATATATCTATTTATTCATCTAAAGAAAATATAAATCAAAAAAATTAGTATGAAAATCAAATAATAGATAAATACGAAATAAATAATTATAATATTAATTTAAATATTTTTTTACAAGAAAAATTATAAGAAAAATCACAAAAAGAATTATAAGAAGAATTACAATTATAAGAATCAGAATAAAAATAAGAATAAGTATCATCACGTAATAAATTATAATATGATAATAAAAATAAGATATTCTTTTTATAGATAAAACAGGGCTATAATTTCAAAATTATACTTTTTTTATTATTTATGTGAGTGATAAATACAGTCAACTTTTAATATAATAACTCATAATACAACAAATTTTTTGAATAAATATAATAATAATACTCTTGTTATATTGAATTGGCTAATCAAATCTCTTAAAATTTTACTATAGTATTATAATGAAGTTAAAGTCTAGGATATAGGATTCATTATAACAAGAGTTAACTGTAGATATTATATAAATATTTTATTTTTATTTTATATATAAAAAAATGATATTTAATTTAAATAATTTAAAAATATTATTAGATAGTAAAGTTTATTGAGAATTATTCAATATTATTAAACATTTAGATTTTAATTTAAATAAAATTTCACTATCTCTTTTTACTATTAAAAATCTTAAAAAAAATTTAATAATTACATTTAATGGTTATAATATTAATATTATTTATTTATAATACACTATTTACATCAAAATCTATTTGTTAAACTTTTATATTTCTTTTGAAAAAATTTTATTTTGTATATTATTAAATAAGTAATTATGTAAATAAATATATTTTAGATCAAAAATTTATTCTGATGTTAAATAAATTATAATATAGAAATATTTAGCACAAATAATTATTATATATATATAAATAAATAATAGTAAATATTAATAAAAATTATTTATTTTAAATCTTTTTTAATGAATTATTTATTTTAATTTTTTTTTATAATTAACATTAATTTAATATTTTAGTTAAATATAATTGAATAGCATAATTTTAATTTTAATAATAAAATATCAGCATGTTATAGATGAATTATAAGTTTTATAATTAGTAAGCTTAATTATTCTTTAGTAAAAGTAAAACAAATAATCAATTTTAATTTATTACTTAAATCTCTAAATCACATCAAAGAAAAATATGTCTTATATAGAAATGTTATAAATAACTAATAAAAGTATTATTATTGAACCTATAATCATTAAATTTAAAGTAAAAATTTGGTTAACAGATTTAAATTAACCTAATAGATATAATTATTTTATTGAAAAAATTGTATATATAGTTAATAATATATGAATAATAAGATCAATTAATTATCACTATTGACATCTAATTAAATATATTTAAATTCAAAATTCTCTAACTGAATTACCTATTTACAAATTTTTCTTGATATATATATTGATAAATTTAGTTTTTTTTGTAATATATATTATGTAATAGAAAAATCTATCTGAAAATAAGTAATATGATACTATTTATTTACCAAAAATTTAAAAAATCATTTTCTTTTAAGATTTATACCTTTTGACATGAACTGTAATAAAATTTTGAAATCTATAATTGAGGATATAAAAGAATTTGAAAATGGATTTGCAATGGATATAAATAATAAAAAACAAGTAGTTTATGTAATATTATCTCAGATTTGCCTAAAAGTAATGAATAATCAAAAGTAAGAAATCATAATACATATTATAAATATTATATATGTATGATATATCATAATAATTTACATAATATTACTTTGATATCGCTAATTATAAATAGTATTATTATATTACTACTTTACAATTTAATGAATTAAATAATACCAGAATACAAATAGAATGTGATTCACTTTTAACAAAATATGATATTTAGGATAAACTATCAATTTTTGATATATTACTCATAAAAGATATTTGTAATATTCTCATGATAAGTTCTACTGCTTAAAGGAAGGTTTATCAAATTAAATATTACAAACAACATTTTTAATTTTAACATCTAAAAGAGAAGAATTATATTTATTATTTGAAAATGCTTTGAATTTTCAAATTTATGGTCTCAATAATAAAATTCTCTTACTCATCTCAACTCTTATTATTTTTCAGATTATTTTCATCTTGTAATGATAATGCCTTTTTTGATTGATCATACAATAAATAATATTTTATTATTAAAAGATACTTTTATTAATAATGTAATTATATCTTGTAATCTCTCATGAAAAAATTAAGTGATTGATCAATTACAAAATCTTTGGGTATTATTTACTAAGTTAATATTTCTAACATTAAAAAAATAATTGATGAATTCAAATCTTAATAAATTGAGAGATTGTATTATTTATGGACGGACTTAGTTGCAAAGGTAATAAATTAAACTTTATTGTAATTATATTATTTATCAAAATATTTTTTACAAAATTTAGATTTTTTATCAATTACAAGACTTCCTAATTTTCATATTATTCATTATTTTGATGTGCAAATTCAGAATTTTGCAATACTTGTAAATGCTGCAGTTCCTATAAAGAGATCATTCATCATTTTTTTAAAGATATTATTTTACATTCAAATAAAAAATCATTGAAATAAATTTTATATAACGTTATAATACATTACAAAACTCTTCGATACTTATTGGATAGTGGTGTTAATTTTAGATATAATAATGAAACACAGATTAATTTTAAGAATTATTTAAAGATCAATGTGTACGAAAAATAAATCGAAGGTGCATTTAACTCGGTGTTCATAACAAAAATCAAACAAAATAAATCAATAAAAATTCGATAACATAAGGAAATGAAAATCAAAATAAAAGCTATCACCGCACAAACACAACTTTACCTCTGTCAATTCCAAATCGAACCGTAAAATTGAAATTGGAATTTCAACTGAATCGTCTAAAAAAAAGGAAAAAACCAAAATTAAATGCATCCAATCATAAATCGTTATTTAACCATTACTAAATAATCACGTTTCTGATTTATCACATGGACAAACCAATTTAATGCCTCTAATTCATAAAAGTAAATCTATCAAAACCATTTGAGAGGATCTTTTTGTGTTGCAAGATAGTATTTGTCGAATGAATTCTTTAAATGAGCTAAATTTTAATTCATATACCACAATTTTAAATCCTTTATACGTAAATAATATGATCTAAACCAATGTCACTCCCGCTAAAGAATCGTGATTCGACGATAATATGTACTTTATATTCTTTTCGTCACTATTGAAAAGGATATGAAAAATATCGATATCATCAGTATCTTCATTTCTAAGCCTGCAAGACATTAAATATAGTAGTTAGTAAAGATTTGATTAATTTCTGCAGATATCAACTTTCCACAGCTTGAATGAAAGATCGTTAAAGTTTTGTTCTTCCTTGATAATCTCTTTGAGTCCATAGCGGTTTCTTTCCTTTTTTTTAAACATCCCAGAAAGGTTATCATCTAAAATTAAACAGCATTGCTCATGTTATGTTAACAGAAGAAAAGTTTTAGTTGGCAAAAACGAAAAAAAATAAATAGGTATTTTTTTTACTGTTCTGTCTATGCTTTTATATTAAATTCCGAGTTAATGTTTTCGGATATTATTATAAAACAAACTATTAAGTTTTTATTAATGCAGAAATTTTGGTAAGAAAAAAAACAAAAAATAGGTAATGTTCAATATAAACCAGTTCTCAGGGCTAATTATAACCAACAATAGTGATATTAAGATTCTTCAATTCTCTTTGCTTACGAATGGTCCTTGGAGATTCATATTGTGGATGTGTAGTATACTAATTATTAAATTATTATAAAAGATTATTTAATTTAGGATAAAAAAAAAAAAAAATGCAAAAAAAATTTTTGATTACCTTTGGATCATTATCAGTTTGCTTAAAACATTGTTTACAAATTAACGTTTTATGATAAACATCAACAATTTGAGCAAGACGTCTCGGAATTTTAATTAAGGCAGAATCTCCATTAATCAAACCGGATTCCAAATATTTAACATGTTTAGGATGTCCACAAGTCGTATTTGAGCTGTCACCATTTTCGATGTTTCTTGATATTATCGTCTTCGTATCATAATGATCCGCAGTAAAATTCAAATGTAGCTCTCCCATATTTAGTGCAGGTTTACACGCAGGTGATACCTTTCGATTTTCGATGACATTCTGGAACGTTGAGTCAGATGGTGATTTCGCATCAAGTTTAGTGACCGTATCTGGAATTTCTGATGGTTTCTCATCATCAGATTGAAAAAGACACTTGGGTGAAGTAGAATCTTCCTCAAAGCCATAAAGTACAAAAGAATATTGTTTAAGAAAGTTATCATAATCCTCTTGATTTTTTGAAATCAAAAAGAACCCAGATGTATTTATTGCTGGAGAAAGGTTGTTAATCACAGCTTCCGTCATGATCCAGATGTAATGTCAAATTGAAAGCGAAACAGAATTTCTTTTTTTGCTTTTGCAGGTTAAAAAGATACTTATTTCGTTTTAAACACTTTACTAAAAAAAAAATTTTAAACCTTACGAAATAATTGTTGTTCCCAAATATTAAAAAACAAAATAAATTTGAAATAGATCAAAAAATTTTTTTAAAAAAACACGATCTAACATAAATACGTATTTACGAAGTGGCGCAGTTTATCCATGGATCATCATTAAAGGAAAATTTTTTTATACGAAATTAACATCACGCATTATCATGACAGCCTCACATTTGACAGATAACTGTATTGATAAAAAAGTATGATAGCAATATAATTTATGGCTGTGTGTTGGTTAATCGATTCTGGTGTAAAAGTGCAACACTATTTCTCTGGAAAAATCCATGTTTAAACCAGGATTTAGAAAGGATTGATCGTTAGAACATATCTCTCATGTATGAATGAGGAAGAGACATCACATGTAAGTATATGGATTAATATTGAATTCGGGAAACCTGTATTTTTCGAATATCCAAAGTATTTGGAAGGATTGGAAAGTGATGAATTAGATGATGAAGTTACCATGTGGTATAAATTTGCATCTATGGAGAAATCAAGTAATTTGCAAAATCGTTTATACAAGGATATGGAAGATATAAAACATGTATTATTTGTATCAATCGTTCATTTGATTCTTCGACAAGGAGTTAAGCTATCAACTTTATGGTACGTTCCTGATTTATGTAGTTCAATGTTTATCAGCAAAGAATTTCTTAACGAGTTATTTTCAAAGAACCCAAACTTGGAAACATTTGCTTGGATCTGTTGACGAATATCGATGCTATGCAAGACACTATTTCAACATTTGATTTATTATCTGCACTTGTAAGAAATTGTACCGGGCTTGATGAATTGTATTTGAAGCTTGAAGAATCTAATGATCATGTTCTTTTCCGACCTTTTGATTAAGTTCAACAAAGTCTGCCATTTTGGAATAATGTATTTTTCAGAAGAAATTGCGGATTAAAGAAAATTATTTTAGTTTTAGAAGCTCAAGCCAACAGTTTGATTTTAGTAGAATTTGTTCAGGTATCCTTTCGTCATTTCTCTTTTGACGAGTATTTGCATTGGAATCACTTCGATTTTATGGTTTAAATATGTGAAGTGTTGGAAATAGCTTCTTTTGAATTGAAAATCAAGGATGTTACATGGATTCTAATTATCAACAGCTGGCATATTAAGTAAAGTCGCAGGAGAAACTTTGGAGACATCAGAAATATCTCAAATTTCCTTGAGATCGTTGAAGCTCTATCAGTTTCGTGTCCAAATTTAATCACATTATGTTTATAACTTGAAGAAAATTTCTCAAGTCTATACTTTTAGAGAATTGTAATGCTCCTTTAGTTACTTTTGTTATAAATATGATATTCATGATGATTATCTTAAACGAAATTGAAGAAATTATTTATTGCTAGTTATGTTAATAAAAATGGATGGAATAATGAGGAATTCAAATTTATTGAAGCGATTAAAGGGCAAGGTATTGATCTCTTGGATTTATTTGATCTAAACAGACTTTAAATCGTTGAATACCTTTAACTTTAAAGTATATTTTTTCTTATGAACTAATAAAATTAAGGATTTAAACATTTCTTTATAATATATTTATATTTAATCAAAAATTTACTCTTTTATTATAATCTCTGCATATATTTCTTTTAAAATTGTGATTTATAAATCAGGAGAATGTTAAGAAACATTGTTTGTTGTTGAATTAGAGTCGAAATGATTGAAAGTAAAGAGCCTTTTTGTCCTCTATTTAATGTTATCATATATTATATAATTTAAGATACAACTTCTAATTTTGAAATGCAACTTTTGAATATTTCTTGAGGATAAGAACATCTAGTATGATATGGTAGAATTCAAACCATAAGGACAAACTAATCATTAATTCCTTTAATTTCAGTGCCGAATATTATATTTTTGTTGATGGTATAAAGTTTGGTTCTAATACCAATTTGGCAAAATGTTGTCGATCAATAAAACAGAACATTGTCAAAAAATTTTTGGATTATTGTCCGAGATCTATTTTTTTTTTTTTTAATTTGACAAACAAATAAAAAGTATGACAAAATATTCTAGATTTGTTTTTCCTTTCTTAATAAACGGTTTTATGCTAACCAATTTATAATTTTCTTTTTTACTTTAGTGAGCGTTTATATTGAAACTTCAGTTGGTGATATAGTTATAGATCTTCACACAAAACTCTGTCCAAATACATGTTTAAATTTTTTAAAATTATGTAAAATTAAATATTATAATTTCTGTTGTTTTCATAATGTTCAAAAAGATTTTATGGTACAAACGGGAGATCCAACAGCGACCGGTATGGGAGGAGAGTCAATATTTGGTATCTTATATGGACCGACGAAAAAATATTTTCCGGCAGAGATAAGATCGAAATTAAAGCATAAAAAATTGGGTACAGTTTCAATGGCGGTGGCAAGTGATGGAGCGGAAGGTAAAGGAGGGGTTAGTGGATCACAATTCTTTATTACGACGGGAGAAAATTTAGATTATTTAGATGGTAAATATACAGTATTTGGAGAAGTAGCGGAAGGATTTGATACTCTAGAAAAGATTAATAATATGTATTGTGATGAAATTGGAAGACCATATAAAGATATTCGAATCAAACATACTCATATACTTGAAGATCCATTTCCTGATCCTGATGGTCTTCAAGTACCTGATAAAAGTCCTTCACCGACAAAAGAAATGTTAGAAACCGTGAGAATAGGAGAAGATGAAAGCATCGAACCTGAATTACCGCCTGAAGAAATGGAGAAAATAAAAAGGCATCGAGAAGCTCAAGCACAAGCATTAACATTAGAAATGATTGGCGATATACCTTTTGCTGAAGTGAAACCGCCGGAAAATGTTTTATTTGTATGTAAATTAAATCAAGTGACGAGAGATGAGGATTTAGAATTAATTTTTTCAAGATTTGGTACTATTAATAGTTGTGAAATTATACGGGATAAAAAATCTGGTGATTCTTTAGGTTACGCATTTATTGAATTTGACAATAAGGAAGATTGTGAAACCGCTTATTTTAAAATGAATAACGTTTTAATTGATGATAGAAGAATTAAAGTAGATTTTTCTCAATCTGTTTCAAAGCTTCATAAAGATTGGTTAAGCTCAAAAATGAAAAAAAGTGGTGGAGGTTATGGAGGATCTATGAGTTTGGAGAAACGGACAAAATATCGAGCAGGAGATGATGAACCTGTCGATAAATATGATCTCGTGTTTGATCATACAGACAATTATAATAATGAAAAACAAAAGAATGTAATAGAAGACAATCCTTCTTCACTTTCTCCTTATCGGGAAAAGGAAAAGGAAAAGGATAGGGATCGGGATCGGGATCAGGATCAGGATAAGGATCGGGATCGAGATCAAGATAGGGATCAAGATAGGGATCAAGATAGAGATCGGGATGATAGAGGAAGAAGAAAGAGGTCTCGATTTACAAGTCCACCATCTAGAGGAAGGTCAGATAGAGATCGTGGAAGATATGAGAGGCATGAGAAGTACGAGAGAAGAGATAGGGAAAGAGATCGTGGTCGTTACCGATCAAGGTCGAGATCACGTTCAAGAGATAGAAAAAGAGGTAGAAGATGATTATTATTTTAATAAAAATAAAAAGCTACGATAATCAAAGCGTGCATAGTATTTAAAGATAAAATATTTATTTGTGCACGCGCAAATATTAATTAAATATTGAAATTAGAAGAATTTTATTTATTTATATTGCCGTTTTTTTTTTATATCACAATTAATAAACACAAGTTTCAAAGGTTAAACTTATCGTCAAATCATATGCCCATTATTTGCTCACTCAAATACATTATGATCATGATCTCATGTAAATAAGTTACATTGGGATCAAAAAAACCAAACGCTTTTTTAATTGCTATTAATCGAGCTCATGATAAAAAATACAATTGCAAACATAGTAAAACTTTTCAAATCATTTTTATTTTCATTTTATTGTGTGATATAAAATTTTTTATCCCGGATAATCAATTTAGTCAGACGACAAATAATCAGCTGATTTTGATATTACAGCAATATTTTGAGTGCGATTTATTTTAAAAATTTTATTTAATTCTGAATAGACAAATCCGCCCATATGTTCAAACCAACAAGCAAGCAAATTATCTAATATGTTTTTTAATTAAGAAAATTAAATTATCTTAAAAATTAATAACAAAAGCGAAAAAAAAATTTTGCTGGCCCAGCAATTCTGCTTGTGCTTGAGAAAGAAAAGAATTTATATAATTAAAATATTTTGAGGATAATAAAAGTAAAAAAAAATACTTTGCTGGCCCAGCAATTCCAGTATTTATTTTGCTCTTATTACCAAAAAGGAATGTGAATTACAGTCAACCCTCTCTAAATGCATCCATAGTGAAAATTTTAAAAAAAGAGGGTGTGCATTTAATGAGAAAATTTCTATATGAATTCTATATGCTTGGGACTGAACGAGAGCGTGCATTTAGAGAGAAAATATATAGTGTGTG